TATTTTATCAGATTTTCTCAATTTTTGCATGATATTTTCATACAGGACATCTGTTGTTCAAACTCAGGGAAGACTTTATACTGATGAATAAGGTGACCAAGTTTGATAAAGTTTGGAATAGAATTAGTAAAGTTATTATGCACACAATAACAATTATTAACGACGACAACAACAACGACGACGACGACAACGCCGGACAAAATTTTTCCCTTAATATACCTTTCCCTTCCATCTTTGATGGTACGGGCAAGGTAAAAATCAATGATTTTAACAAGTCATTGTCAATGACACGTCATATTTGAGAGACATATACATTCAAGCAGATCATGACCAAAATCTCAGACCACTTTCAGTGGTCTGATCCGAAATGCACCTGCATATGTACAACAGATTGTACTAAATCTGAAAAAATCCATCCATGCATGACTGAGATCCGGTTCCGGAATCGTGAAAATACGTGATTTTGATGCATTTTCGGTCTTAAAATGGCCATCATTCAGCTATTGTTAAGCGGATCTTGAAACAAATGCACATATCTATTTGTGACATGATGTACCATGTGTGTGTGAAGTTTAAACTTGATCAATCCAGACATGTCTCGGATACGGATCCAGAACTGAATTCTTTAAAACAAAATGGCCACCAGTCCGCCATTTCGAACTAGATCCCAAATAAAAATGACGTGCATCAAGGTCCTATTATGTTTAATGTATGTACCAAATTTGAACAAAATCAGTCTATGCATAACTGAGATCCAGGTCCGGAATGGTGAAAATGTGCGATTTCAATGTATTTTCGGCCTTAAAATGGCCGCTATTCGGCTATCGTTAATCGAATCATGAAAAAAATGCATGTGCATATGTCCCATATAATGTGTGATGTATGAGTGAAGTTTGAACCTAATTGGTCCATGCATGTTCGAGATACAGGTGATCATGGATGCATGCACGCACACAGGGCAAAACATAACTCCCCCATTTTCGGACTACGTCCGAACAGGGACTAAAAAGGCATTCATTGATCTCGGCAACTTCTCTCACCTGTTGAGTTCATGGATCATGGATTTTTCCCGATGACCTCTCATTACCATCTGTTGTTCTTTTAATTGTTTTGCAACCTAAAATGAACGAGATGTATAATTAACACAACAATTTATCACTTTAAACAGATTACTTCTAATCAAACCAATCACAACCGAAAGCGTTCACAAAAACATTGATCAACTTACATCTTTTGCAGATGATCCGGAAACTTCAATCCACGTCTTTGAGAAGAATGCACATGAGCCGAGCATAAAAACGATATAGAGGATAGCATGGAGAGGATCAGCAGCCATGTGTGCTATGTTCTCAGGAGGTGACATGTAGTAACAAATTCCGCCAACGGGATAAGAACGAGCTGGTCCACCGCCCGACGCTTCCTGTTAAATTAATAAAAGTAGATTCACCTTTTATAACTACTTTTGCATTATAGAGACAATTCATGTCACAGTTCCAGACACTGAAAGGTGCAAAATATAACTTGAGATGTGCTAACCATATATTATGTGCAATATGTGCAAGAGAAAGCATATTCCAAAGTTCCCCTGAAGTTGCATCCATTAATAGCTTGACCAATTTTTGATGCTTAACTATTGGCCAACACTATTGATGATTAGTAAATTATTTATGGTAATAGTTTTTTTTTAAATAAATGAAAGATTTCTACTAAGTAGACACAGAGGGCGACATTTAGAACGTACATAAACTAAGCAATAAACTAGACAATTTCAAGACTCCAACATTTGTCCCAGAACTGCAGACAGTCCAGAAGCAACCAAAGACAAACATAACTATACTTACATCCCACACGCCCAATAAGCTGACAAAGAAGTTACCGGCAAATTTGACAGACAGCATCTAGAAATGAACATAATGAATATCAGATATTGGTGTCAAAAATATTATTGTAGTGGGTATTGTTCCTTGATGATGAGAGTAGGACTTCAAAACAGCCCATCGATGTCTTTACTATGATGTAACAGTGACATCTGCTCATGATATTCCCATAACAGTCTCTTGTACAATTTTATCAGTGTTAATGCTTTAATACAATACATACCTGAGATATGACGTATAAATTAGATACCAGCGCACTCTGAAGAATAATTGGGATGTTTGAGGTGTAGAACAACTTGATTGGATAGGAAGCGTACTGTCCACGGTAGCGAGCAGACTTGATTGGAAGATCCACTCGGAATCCCTACAAGAACATTAAAAATTTAGAATTTGCACATTATAATATTGTAATTATTTAGCATACCACTAGTAGCTCAAAACACAGACATGAATGGTAGAGGATATTTACCTGGAAATATATGACAACACCAAATACCAAGACTGTGGAAAGCAGATTCATGAGGTTGGGAAGGTTCTGTCGATAAAAGGCTTCACGCAGACCACGGACCTTATCGGTACGTGTTGCCAACAAATGGAACAAAGCAATAACTGCTCCTTCAAACTCAGTACCTGTTAAAGAACATACAAGATATATTAGATCAACTATACAAAGTCAACTACAGCAACACCAGGTGTTAATGTGATATGGAAAACAGTTTACATAATACAGTCAAACCTGTCTATAAAGGACAGTCAGTGGACTGAGCCAAACTGTCCTTTATAGACAGGTGGTCTTTATATGGAGGTGGCCTAATTTATTAATTCAATCATGAATATTAATTAGGGCGTGAATTTTAAGGGAGATCATAAGCAAAGCATAAAAACAAACCTACACATTGTACAATGAATAGGTTTCTTTTAATAAAAGTCACTCATTTTCATCTGGATAATTACACAGCTTTACTTTTTTACTACAAATTATATCATGTAAATTCACTGAAACCAAGTGACTATGCCCATGGATTCATTGGTGTATTTAATGCACAAGAACGATTGTCAAAGATCGGCCACATTGGCATTTCCGCTCAGACTTTCACACTCTCGCCATGCAGTCGTATTCCCCAGTCTCTTACACATATTCCATCACAGGCGGTAATCAGTCCCATCGTTAGTATTTTCGATTGTACACTGTGACAAAATGCACAGGCAAAGTTGCCGTGTTTGAAAAAACAAACAAGCATTAAAAATGAAGAAGCATTGGTAATAAACAAAATTAACCAAACGATTGCTCCAACTCTCGGTGTTGAATCAGAAAGTCAAACGAACCGGAAATGAAACACTATGATCGTACACACAATTTTACAGTTATTTGTTTCAAGCATAGACATGTCAAAACTGCCCAAACGAAACAAATTTTCTCGATTGCGAATTATTGATATTACTGTTTATAAAAAAAAAAATAGGATCAAAATAGAAAACATCTTTCGTTGAGAATAACCCTGAGATGACCCCTCAGTAACAATACGTTTTGCCCATGTGCTAGCTTCATTAGCATAATTATAACGATCAATAACAAACAACATGGCGGCCAAAATAGGTCGGATTTTGCAATCCCGCGATGAAAACGATATAAACAAATGTTTTATTATTTTGTTTGGATATTTCATGTCGACAAGGTAAATAAAACATCTCTCATTTAATAAAACTGGTTCATTTTTCTTGTTTTCGAGACGGGAGGAATTTGCTCTTCATGTGCGAGACAGTCCACAGAAGTGCCACTGGCCGGCTAGGGATCGATAGTATAGTACCGATCAGAAACAAGCTAGTTTTTCATTTCAAATTTGAATGAAACTGTTTTAATTTGTTGTTAACATTTTTTCCAGTCTCCAGACGTTACATTCAGATGATATTCAACTTTTTTTTTTTTTATTTTTTCGCAACTTCACAAACCAAGTTGCGATGGTCACCCATGTCTATTAATCCTAAAGATTGTGTACTCTGTAATCTGAACGCAACATATGGCCACATTCCTGTTAGCGATTCGCAAGTACCGTATTTGTCTTCAGTTAAGCGCCACCTTCAATTAGGCGCCAGTGCCACAAAAACTTTGTATTTTACACCTCAATTAAGCGCCAGACAAAGTTGAAATTTTGGCACGTAATGATCGTGAATTGGGCGCCGGCGGATCGACTACCGGTTACCGGTTCGTAGCGATGGACGCGATCGCGGAAGTCCCTCGCTGTTACTGTACGAATGGCTTTTATGTAAAAAAAATTGGTTTTGTTTCTAACAATTTTTAAGA